TGCAGATCAACGAACTCAGTAGGTCCCGAAGGGTTTCTTTTGTATGTTTGCGAGTATATGGGTATAAAGAACAACGATATGCACATACATTTTTTTAAATGATTCAGTGCAACGAACAGTTAATGTACGGGAAAGTAACTAATAATTGTGTTGGCAAAGTTTATATCAACATAAGCAAGGACTTCATATCTAAGGCAGATCGTAATCGTTGCATTTCGAGTAATGAGAGAAACTCAGACAATTTTTTTTTTTTATTTTGTACTAACTTTGTTATTGCTGTATGTTGCAGTGCGATTATTTCAATATAAAAGTAATAAGTAATTTTACATTCCATTCATTTCTAATTTCCCCATAGTTTTCAGGCGAGCCGCAGTTCACATTCGAGGAAGTTCGGTCATATGTTTCGGACAGCAGTTGCGATAGTTCCTACTCCTCAATGGCCCCAAATGGTGCTGCACCACGGTACGGTTTTTGTCTGCGTTTTCGTTCGCATTCGGCAGTTTTGCCTTTTCAAATCGGCGATTATGAATGTTTCATTTTTAGGACGAATTCGTTTACTACTTCCTATATTAAACAACAACAACAGCAACAGCAACAACAGCAGCAGCAACAGTACCAGCAGTCTCGACTTTCTGGACGAAAACATGGAACTGTCGAATATGGTTCTCCAGTACCGGATTTGCAGTAAGCAAGCGCTCTAGTATTGCTTCTTTTTTTCTTTATTTTTGGATTTTCATGAGTATACCAAGATTTAGTCAGACTTTGGGAAGCTAAATTTTCCTGATCGAAAACGAGCTTATTCCTTGGGCAGTAGCAAATGAAACTGGAACTTTTGCTGATGCATGAAATTTTTCTGAAAGTACTTCTTCCTCAAGAACAATGAATTTTGAATGCACAATTCTTGCAGGCGTTATAGTGCAACATTGCCACAAAGCGATGTTTCGCAACAATCAAATAAAGCAGCACCTCCGGCGCATGGGTCGAAAGCAGCCGATCCTGATCGAA